AAAAAAAAAAAAAAAAACGGTCGGCTGACAATTGCGGCCGTGCGCGCCTCACGGTGCGGTTGAGCAACAATTGTGGTCGGCCGACAATTACGGTCGTGACCGTTGCAGCCGCCGACAATTGCTACCGTGCACATTGGCGGCCGGTTTCGTCGCCAGCTACGCCAAGGTTATTTTATTTTATTTTATTTTATTGTTTCTTTTTATTTTTTGGGAAAAAAAGTTAATAAAAAAATAATAAGTGGACAAAAAACAAAAAAAAAAGAGGGAAAGTGGACCAATATAAAAAGCACGTATTTACAAAATACGTTTTCTGTATAATTTAATAGAAAAACGTATTCACTAAATACGTTTTTCATATTTTTTTTTACAAAGGAAAACGTATTCACGAAATATGTTTTCCAAATAATTTTTCCAAAAACCGTATTCAAGGAATACGGGCTTTTGATTTCTTTCCACCTCCTTTTTTCTTTTTTTTTTGTCCACCACTTTTTTTTTTTTTTCCCGTAAAAAATTCGGTAAAATTATCCACAAAGAGGGCCGTTTTCACATATACAATATCGTGATTAAATATTTATACAGTCTCTCTCTCTCGCTGGTGCCCCCGCCTTGCTCATTTATCCAATTTTTCCAGCTTCTGGCCGACAACCGCCATTTTCATTTTCAAAGCTCCGTATCCTTGAGAACTGTTCTACTTCCGGTTAGTAATGTTCTTTTTTCACATTTATTTGCATTCTTGCTGGATTTTTTTTCTGATTGGGGATTGAATTGTGTTAAAACGGAATATCGGCTAAGATTGGCAAATTAGGGCTTTTTTCCTATCTGCATGTTGATCCTCGGGTTGGGTGATTTTGTTTTCGTTATGAATTTTAGTTTCCGGTTTGGGGTGGTGTGTAAGGATGCAGTCGATATGGTGTCATTATTTAGTGAAAGTTGATTCTTTTTATTTATTTTCGTGATTTTTCGATTCGAAACAGTTTTTGTGAGTTCGAAATAACTGTTAAAACACCCATGGTTTGTTTCTGTTCGATAAATAATGAAGCTGTCCTAAGATAGGACATTGATGCTTATGTTCTGTTTTGTCATCCAAAGAATATAGCTTGAAGCTGTATAGTTTTCTTCAGGATGCAGGTGACATCAAATTTGAATGAAAAATGGAGTTGTTTTATACACTGAAATATGGCTTTCACTTGAGTTCATTAGTTTGGAGCATCATTTGTGTGGCTTGTCTGTGAGCATGTGAAGTTTTATGGTTTAGGAATTAGGATTACTGGATGGTCCGGCTTATGAGTTTATTGGTTTGCATTGCTCTTTGACATTGCAGAGGAAAGTCTATTAATTTAATTTTTTTTAGAGTTTCCCCCTCTTCCCGTTTTTCTATATATTTATTCATTTTGGTTGCATTTCCATGCGTTTCTGGTTGGTAAGTCGGATTACTTTACTTGATCTGAATATTTTTTTTTTTTTTTTTTTTTTTTTTTTTTTTTTTTTTTTTTTTTTTTTTTTTTTTTTTTTTTTTTTTTTTTTTTTTTTTTTTTTTTTTTTTTTTTTTTTTTTTTTTTTTTTTTTTTTTTTTTCTCTAATGATTGGGTTGTAGTGGATGGGCTAGTGCAAAGATGTTGTGTTGGACTAAAAAAGACCCATTTAGGCTCTAGCGGTGCATTGGAGATTAAGACTAGTTGATAATTTTGTTTGTGCTGATCATTAATTCCATGTGGATGATGTGTCGTGGTGTGAGATGGCACTGCCATTGCTGATGGAACTCAGAATTTGGATAGACCGGTAAAAATTGATATTAGAAAAAGGTCCATTTCGATTAGGTATTCTGGCAGTGCACTCTAAGTTTGGACGACATGATAATGTAGTATTATGCTGCTATAGATTCTTGTGGAGTGTCTGCGGATGAGGAGGGCCTATTAGTTTCACTTCTGAATTCTGATAGGACATGTGATGGGGAGAGAGAGAGACAGAGTTTTTTTTCCAAGAAAATAGAATTAGATAAATAACCAAATGCCTTTTGTCTAAACTTAGAACTTCAAGAAAAAAAGACTATTTTTTTGTAGAGAATTTTATTAGGTTTCACCTTAAACTTTCAATTGGACAGCTTGCAATTTGAATATCAGAATTTTGGTTTATACAACAGATAACTACACAAAGAGCCAAGTGAAATACCTGCAAACATGCTTTTCACCAAATATGGCTGGTCTATGATGCATTTCAACAAGGGTTTCACGATATAATGGCAAAATTTTACAAATACCCTAGATTTATAATGAGGTCAATTGCAGTAATAATTACTTATATTTTTTTGCTGCAGGTGTTACTTGTGAAGGTGCTATTCTAGACGCCCCTTTTCTTGCTTGTACCATGATAGAAGCTGACAGTCAAATAATAAAACCTGAGGTATCTTTCATGATCAGTGTGATCTTCTGCATGTTATTTGTGTAAATGATTTTGACTTTGTCTGCTAGCATAATGTTTCTTTTCCAAATACTTTATATCATGCAATTGTGCTTATACGGCCCATTCATTCATGTCCTAGCAGGTGTCAGTGTAATTTAAAATTTGTTCGACTTTGGTAGTAGTTTTCCAAAAAAATTCTTATATTCGAGTGCTTTGGACCTGACGTTAAATGGCGCGCATATATCCACAAGGAAGCCACAATTTCTGGCAGTGATTTCCTGTTTTAAATACTACCATTTGAAATATTTAGAGTCATTGGTTGTTATCTATGCATTGCATAGAATATGTTCAATTTTTACTTCTTATTTCACTACTGCTACTGATCAAAGTTTGATGTTCTGTTGAGCTATGTCAGATGTTGAAGGCTTATGTTTGGCTTCAAACTTCTGATGGTTCAATTCAGCAAGTGGAGCAAGAGGTTGCCATGCTTTGTCCATTTATCTGTCGAGAAATCCGTTCCGGCATGGGATCTTCTAAAAACTATCCAATTTCTCTTCCTTCGAGGGTTAATCCTCCTACATTGAGCCTGATTTTTGACTACTGTCGGTTTCATCAAGTACCAGGGCGCTCTAACAAGGTTATTAGTCAATCCCAATTTTTAAAGTTTATGTCTTCCCCTTTTCTTGTTGTCTTTATTTATTTTCATCTTGACTTGATTAGTTTACCCCTGTGGGAGAACAATAATAATAACATCAAGGATAGAAAATGACCGAAACTTGATCTCACCTACACTATAATGCAGGAGAGGAAGACGTTCGATGAGAAATTTGTTCGAATGTGTACCAAACGGCTTTGTGAGCTGACGTCGGCTGCTGATAGCCTACACCTGAGGCCCCTGGTAGATCTCACAAGTCGTTCACTTGCAAGGGTGATTGAAGGGAAGTCCCCAGAAGAAATACGAGAGATATTTCATCTGCCTGATGATCTTACAGAGGTTTTCTTTCATAATATACTTTTTTAATGGCTCTTCTGTTTTGTTGGCGATGGGTTTTTCAGGTTTTCTTGTTAATATCTAGTATCATGCTGTCACAGGAAGAAAAATTGGAGCCTATAAAGAACACTATGGATGACCCGAGGATTCGGCTTTTGAATAGATTGTATGCTAGAAAGAGGAAAGAACTAAAAGAAAGAGAGCAAATAAAGGTGATTTCTATAATTGCTTCTTGTACTGTTTCTTGACCACCCAAGATGTTCTTTTTTATATTCATATCCCATGAAGTGATATGTAATTCCTATATATTGTACAATTTAAGTTGGCTGATTGGAATTTTATGAGAAACGTGGAATAGAAAATAAATTGCTTGAATATGGTTATTCACCAATGCAAGTTAAGACTTAGACATTCGCTTCCAATGGTTTCTGTAGAATATTGAAGTTGAAGACGATCATGAGGATGAGCGCTCAGTTGATGATCTCTTGTCTTTTATCAATGGAGGTAATGAAGGCACTTTTATAAGTCCACCTTCTAAGTCTCCTTTATTAAATTCTCCATTTAGTGTTATGCTACAATCATGCTTACAGTTTCGTGTTCAGTGATATGACTCCCAAACTATAACTGTGGGGATCCTGTCCTTTTCTTTGTGCTATGGTGTGTATTTTTTTGTAAATCACGAATATAAAGAACTTATTATCACATTGGGAATAATAATGAGAACAGGCCATAGCCTCAACCTTGAAAAACACAGAGTTTGCTTTTTTCTTTCCTCGTATCTTCCCTTAGTTTATCAGTTAAAGGGCTGGACCATCTCATGCGTACTTATTTGCAGATTCTAAGGCGACCAGAACTAGTAAACCTAAAAAGAAGAATCGCAAGAGAAAAGATCATCAAAAGCCTGCTACTTCTAACCACAATGTTACATCAAATAGCACCTCATCCGTGAAAAATATTGCACAAACAAATAAGGTCAGGAAGGTTATCTTGATTTATACTACACTTCTAAGCTTTAATGGGAATTTGCACCAGATGATGTCATTGCTTTTCAATTTCCTGTGCTCCATTTTATCTTTCATAGAACTAGAAAAGGAAATCACTGATGGCATGTTTTCTGATGCATGCAGTAGTATGGTGTTTGGATTGATGTCCTTTATATGCTGCAGGAATCGAATGAGCTTGATTCAGTGTGCAGTAATTCCAAATTGCATAATCTTTGTAACGCCACAAAGCTGCTAGACATCAAAGACGACAAAATAGGACCTACTGACGATGAGTTTGATGTGTGTGATTTGGATGATGATATTGACCCTGTGCTGAAAGAAAAAATTGATAGGTAAATGCGATCCTTTCTGACCTTTTTTACTGGGCCTTTCTCGGAGGTGTTCCTGGATTGTGTTTGTGGGCTAAAGTCTAAACAGTTCATCAGTTGATTTTATTTAGAGTCTTGTGGGCATCAACTGCTATGGTTTGCACTCTTTATTGCTTATGTTGGCTATAGATGAAGGGACCATTTTGAGTACCACCTGGCTGGCACTTATGAGGTTTAGCTTAATTACCATAGAAACTTCACTGAAGTTCAAACTCATTAACACACTGTTGAGCTTTATATTTACCCAACAATCACCCCGTCATTAGTGCTCAATCTGTTATGTAGAATCAAAGATCAAGGGGATGTCAGTAATTTGTGTAGATGACTTTCTGTTCTATCTTAGCTAAACCTCAAGGGTACTGTTTGTAATCATCCCAATCAAACTTACCCGTTTGATGGACTGTAATTGTTATATGTTTTTTGTAATTTGATTTATCAGAGAAGTGGAGGACTTTGCGAGACGACTGAACTCAGGTTGGCCTGAAAGGATTCAACAGCTTGTGTTTCTAGGTCCAGAGAGAAGGCATTACGGTTGACCTTCAATGGAAGTTGTTCCTTGGAGATTTACGAGTACGTATTTAATCTGTCGTCAACAGTTCCATGGTGTATCCGACTCGGCATTCTCGTACATGTGCTTTATATTATTATTATTATTATTATTATTATTATTATTATTATTATTATTATTATTATTATTATTATTATTATTATTATTATTTCACGATTTGAAGTTATTAAGTGGTGTTGCCATTTTTATTTTATTTATTTTCTATAAATATGTTGCTTTGCCCCATCACAGGCGTAAACCGGCACCTTTAGTGATCCTCAGGATGCGGCCCTGTCAACTGCGATATGAAGATCATGGAGAGTTTTGGATCTTTATTTTGTCCGAATGCTGGTTTTTTATGTAAAGCAGTGTTGATTCACATCCATGCTCTCTCTCTTAACCTTTTTTTGATCCTGGCATTTAAATATTTAATTTTCATTTTCTGGGCTGAACATGTCTGATGGAAGAAAACAACAATAGGAAAAAAAGAATGGTATTTAGGGTGCAAATATGAGCCAATCTTTTGCTACACCTTATCGTCTTCTGTTGTTGTTCCTGAAGGTGTTTGTGTTCGTCAGTCGGCATACACCGGCGATTCTCCAGCAAGTGAAATATATGTTATATATGGAGGGAAGAAGACAATGCATTTGCGTTTATGGGGTGTTTATTTTTGCAATGGCATATTTTCTTGTTAAATGGTACGTTTTTATGGTAAGTATATTTTTAGTAAATTATTACTATTAACTTAAGTAAACACGCATGCTATAAAAAAATATTGGAAGATTGTCTCTAATTGAGCCATCCATAAGCCTATGTTTGGTTTGGGGGAAACGGAGGGGAGGGGAGGGGAGGGAAATTTTTATTTTCCTCTTGTTCGGTTTGGGACTAAAAGGCTTTGTTGTTGTTGTTGTTGTTCTTGTTCGGTTCAAGTTTTTGTAAGGGGGAGGAGTTTGAATTTTCCCTTTAATTCAATTCCTTCTTCCAAGGGAAAATGTGCTCCCCTCCAAAAGTGAGGGAATTTGGAGAGGAGGGAAAATTTTAACAATAAATTACTCCTTTGATCTTATTGTGAATTTTTTTTTTTT